CAATTTGTATAAAAGTGAGAAAAGGACCAAAAGCTTTTCTTCACATCTTTCCAAGTGTTGTGTGGTGGGTGGAGGCTTTTTTTTGCATTTATTCCTGGTTGGGATGGATGAACAACGTCTTTAACTGGAGCTGTGGTTGCCCTGAGCTGCACTCACAGCCGAAGGCTGTTGGAGTGTTGACTCCAAAGTAAAAGAGACAATTGCATTTCTGCTGGCACCCAGTGTTTGTTTCCAGGATTTTTAGTAATGCAGAGTAATAAGGAAACATCTGCTTTTTCAAGTTTTTTTTTAATGACTTAGGCAGTAAATGGTTTGATCTAGTCAGCACTGTTGTAAGTTTTTAGTGAAAATCAGGTGACTGGAGAAGATGTTTTAAGTGATTACAGTGAAAGTCATGCATGTGTGTTTTCTATCTTTTTTTAAAACCATATTCTCATATCTAAATAAGTTCAGCTCAAGAATCTGGAAATTGCCTAGCTAAACCCTATTTCCTCTCACTGTGAGATATCTAGTCAGGAACACTACCAAGTAAAAAAGAAAAACCAGCCAACGCCAATAATAGTTTTGCAAATGATTCTGTGACTTAGATAAATTAATAAATAAATAAAGTTCGGCATTTTAGAGCCATTAACAGGGAAAAAAGATCCCTTCTCCGTGCAACTTGAAGAGCAATGGTGGTGCAAGTAGCCACTGATCTCTGGGAATCTGGTCTGCCTTCAGGGGATCCATTCTCTAGTTACAGAGGGGAGGTAGTTCACCCTCCATCTCTGGTGGTGGCCTGTGTTAGTGACTTTCCTCATATCACCTGATAATTAGAATGGATTTGAAACCAGGACCTTTTTTTCCCCCACATTCTTTGACAGGTGCTTGAGAAATAAGCAGTTGCATGACTACTTATCTTAGAGGTGCTTAATTCGTACACTACAAGGAAAGCTTTACGTTGAGGTATTTATCACTTGCACTTGCACTTCTTCAGACATGGCACGCTAGAAATGTCATATTGCTTGTCTTTATCTTAGTCTCCTTTTTTCTTGTTTGCAAATACCTAACCACTCATTCCTAAAGGATTATCATTTACTAATTCTGCCACTTAAAATATTGTCTTAAATATTTATTTCTTCTGATTTAATGGTGGATTTTTTTGTTGTTGTTTTGTTTGTTGGTTTTTTTTTTTTTAATTGACTGAAGAAGTTTACCTGTAGTGGAAATGTAGATTATAGGTGGTTGAGTTTTCATACTGCATCTGTAGATATTGCTTTGGAGCTTTCTTCATGCTTGAAAAATGGAATTTAAAAAAAAGAAAAAAGATACTTTTCTGACTAAGAGTGTTGCCCATGAGCTCTCCCGCTTTCTGTAGAAAGGGAATGGAACAAACCAGCATAAATGGGAGGGTGCTGATGAAGTACCAGTGGAATGAAGTAAATTGAGATGTAACTGCCCAAGACTACTATGCAACTTCTTGAATTTCCACCAGGGACAACTTTAATATTTTAAAGTAAAAAGATAACTTACTTATCTGGTTGAAGATTTTATCAAGATGAAGACTTTATGTCTGTTTGAAGGGAAAAGGGAGCTTAATTCCTGATAGTTAGCTAAGCAGTTAATTTTTTTTACAGGAAATCTAAATTTAATAGAAGACCCTAGGGAAATTCAAGGGTGTGAACAATACGCATAATATTTTATGAAAATGACCCCCATATTTAAAATCTGGCATTATATGTTATGCATTGTAGCACCAAGTCCACATCTACCTTTTAGAAAATTAAAACACATAAATTCTGTTTAGTGTTTGATATGTGCTGCACTAGCTGAAAGCCATAATGCCCCTAAAACCTTGGGTTGCTTTTCACCTTTCATAAATTCCTGGGTAGATTCTATACAAAAAATAATTTTCAGCTCCGTGGCTCATTGTTATTCAAACTTGATTGATCGTCGTCATTTACTCAGTGAGGAAGTTAAGTGTTCCTGTCATTTCCAAAGAGTATAATTGGGACGTTTCACAGGTCAGCGGTAGTGACAGGTTTCCCTTTTGATTAGTGTTAGACTGATAACAAAAATTACAGTTTCCTATGATTAATGTTTTCTATAGTACTTGAATGCACAGTTCATGGATTGTACCTAAACAAAGTGAATTTGCATCTGATTATGCCTTTTCTCTGTCAGGCTTTTCACGTGCTTTAAAGTTTTAGGCCATGCAGGTTATACAGCAAAGTTGCTTCTAATGCAGTTTTCAAGTTGGGGATTAGAGAAGCCCACTGAATTTTAGTGTGTTTACTGTATGGAGAGATACATACATGCCCCCAGTGACATGGGAACAAATTTGGGGAAATTTCAATTAAAGGTAGTACCCAGCATTCCCTCTAGTCCTCTCAGATATGACATGCAAGGAAGTACTGGTATTATATCCCCACTACTTTAGGTATAATCTGGCAATTTAAGTTAAATGATCAGTCAGAACCGAGTTTTCTTTCTCTTGACACTGTTTCTCAGTTCCTTAAACCTGTTGCTGTTTATTTGTTTATAGACTGCTGAATAAAAACTATGGAATCACACTGAATTTACCTTCCCTGTTTCATGATGTGAAAGTTGATCAGCTTTACATTATGGCACAAAGTTGTAGACTGAGATAATCTATGATGAGTTTTACCTTGGTGAAATCTTTTTTTTAATAGCTAGATGAGAAATGGAACCTGAGTGTGGAAAATATGATGTTGTCCAGCTTGCAGCAAAATAGGAGTGGAGGTTATTTCTGAATTTAATTAATTTGTCCCTAATAGATGAAAAGGGGATGACAGCACCAGCAGAATATCAAAACCAAAATACAAGCAAACCTCTCTTCAATATTTAGCCCTCTTCTCTTCTGCAGTACAACGCCTGATGATTTTTTTCTTTCTAAAGGCCATTGGGAAGGTCTTCTGAAAGTTGTAGTTTAACACAGATGTTCTGCTTTCAAGTCTAGTGGCTTTGGGAGTTTGTGATTGGTGGTGAACATTTGACCCTCTCTTTGGTTAGAACTCTATTTTGGCTCAGTATGTATCTGTCTTGGCCAGGCCAGGTACGGCCTGAATTGCTGCTTGCTTTTAGATGAGGAAGAATAATTGCAGTGGGAAATAAAAAGTAAACCTGGATGCAGGATCCTCCAGGATAGCCTGGATGTTGGCAGTTCTCGAGGTAGGAATAGTTGTCCTGAAGAGACTGAGCTGTGGCTCTTACCTGTCTTTGGCAGCAGGGTACTCTCAAACATGATTATGATGAGTCTTTATTTTAAAATGAAGACTAATTAGATGTTCTATGGTAAGAATGAAATAGTAAATCAACTCTACTCTTCAGGACAGTAAATCTTTTTTTTTTTCTCTTTCTTTTTTTCACTGGAACTGCAGCTTTCTGAAATCAAAGTAACTTTTTAAACAAAGGGAAGAATCTTACTTCTAATTTGTACCATCCATTCATTATGGGTTGATGTCTATCAATGTGTATTAATATCAATTAACGTTCTGTATTACAAATTAATTCATTCCAGCTTACAAATAATACTGACCAAAAAAATACTAGTTTTTAAAAAAAGTTATTTATATTGAACTATGTTCAATAAATCAAGATTGGTTTCTAGGTTTTTGGTTTCAGAGTATATGTACGATTTAAAGGAATTCGGCTGTGACACAAGATTAGAGTAGTGCATTAAATTGGGAAAATTCTGCTTCAGGCAAAACCTGCAGTATCCTCTGGTGCTTGTAGCAAAGAGGAGTTGATATGAATATCAACAGAAGTCAGGTGCACTAAGAGGAGTAAAGAACACAGTTGAAAATACTGAAAATGATGCTGTTCCTTATCTGTGGCTTCGGGTTGCTGCAATGAAGTGGAAAAAAGTGATAGCCTGTGCTAAGGTTGGATTTAGTGGACACCCCTTATTATTTCCTAGAATTGTAAAAGCACATGGGAAACTACAATAAAGTGCTAATTATGTTGTTGTTGGGAATTAGATGACTCTGAAGGTGGGCAAAAGAAATAAAGTGTAAAGCCTCTGTCATTGCTGCCTTTTTAAGGTAGCATTTGCTGTTTTAAAGCTCTGATAGTACAGGCCGTGTCTGGTGGCACAGATTCTTTTAGCTTACGTGTAATTTAGAAGAAAAAATCATTTTCAGGTATGGAACAAGCTTAGAAAAAATGTAGAGATTTACTGGTATATATACAGTATATCAGAATGAAATGAGGTATAGGAAACCACTTACGTGAATGAATTACCCTGGTTAGTTGGTAGGAACTGCGTTTTTTTTTCAACTACTTGTAGATACTCAGACTGCAAGACAGACCAAATGCACATTTTAAAAAAATCCAGTTTTGTTGATCTTAACCATAACAGCGTATGCAGTTTAATGGTATGAATGGTTGGGGTGTACCAAATTAGCTAAGAAATGAATGTTGCCAGTTATTTTTAGTGCTGTTGTGAAGAAACACAGTGAACCACTGTAGTATACAGATCTGAATATTCCTGCTTGGATCAGTATTAACTTGCCAGTTCATCAGCTTCCTCTCCTGTTTGCCTGCTCTGGAGTTGAGCTCTTAAACAGTTTGTGATACCATTTAACATGCCACAGACTATTTTATTTGGGTGCTGCTAAAGGAGTAAAATCATCCAAAGGAGAAGAGGTAAGGCTATAATTTGCTCATTAAATCAAAATCTTGATGTTGTTTTAAGATTTTTTGGTCTATTTCATAGCTTCACACTTTCTCAGACTTCACCAACTGTGTGTGTTCTAATGGATAAAAGGGGCTTTAAAAGAAGCCCTTAGGATAGAGTATGGCTTTAGAGATAAAATGTTAAGCAAAGGCCTAATCTTAGATAAAGATTAAATACATAATTAGGGAAATAGTTTTGACATAGAGCAGTCTCAGTAGGGCTGTCAAGATGCCTGCAAAATATTTTCAGAGTGAAGGGAAATGAAAAGCAATCTTCACATTTACTAAAAAAAAGGAAAAACCCAACAAAAATATCTCTGCAGATGAAAGCCTCGGATGATGACGACGAGGACGAGGATGAAGATGACTTTGTGGAGGTCCCTGAGAAGGAAGGTTATGAGCCCCACATTCCAGACCACCTGCGTAAGGAATATGGTGAGTTTGCCCAGCTGTGACAAGCTTTATCCCTGCATGTTGCTGCTGCACTAAAGTAAATAAACAGCCATTCTGAAGTAATAAAGTGATCAGTGGTGTGGGTAATCTCTGCCTGCTCTGAGGAAGTCATTACATGGACACAGGAACAGCGATTGGCTCCAGATAAACAAATACTTTCTAGGAGCAGGGGTGACTGAGACCAGCAGCTTATTTCATTCCATCCTGTTCCACTGGAGTTAAGAGCCAGAGGCAGCTCCGTGGGTGCTTGTAAGTGTGCAAAACACATACTGAGAGTGAAGGGACTGCAAAGTGGAGCTGTAAATGAGCAGGAATATTAGAAATGCTGGTGACAGTCTGGTGAGAGGGGAGAAGGTTCTGTTCCACCACCTGCATTGGTAGCAGTTGGAGATGCACAGCCACTTCCTCCCATAGAGTGGCCAACTTACAGCTCTGCAAGGTGGCTCTTTTTGTTTGTGTGTTCTAAGTAGGTAATTTTTAAATAAAGGTATACTTACAATGTGTTTTTGTGAAATTGAGAGGTGGGTTACTGAGGAAAGTTCATCTTAAATAATTCAGTTTTGGTACATTACTCCTTGTCCTTTGTACATTTCACTTAGTAAGTCTGCAGTTTTGCCTCTGTGCAAAATTGTGTATTTTAAGACTCATAAGATTTCAGAACATTGTAGAGAAGGAAAGGGTAACTGCCATCACAGAGAAGTTAAAAATCTTGGCCACTGTAAGAAGTGTCTTGCTTCTTTGCTCCTCTCTGAGTATTTGTGTAAGATTTGTGCTGTGCTGTGCCTTTTTCAGTCCTATTGATGCTTATTTTTCATTTATCTGCAGTTTCCATCTTGAAAGTCAGGCTGTAGCTGTTACCTGTATAAGTCAAATGTTTCTTTTTGCTGAAAAAAGGGGTGTGCCTGTGTAAAGCCAAGTTTATGTAGCTCAAGTGACCTTTTTACTGTCCTCTGCCATCAAAGTTGGCTACAGACAGTAAAAGGTGGTCAGTAACAATCACCTGTAGTTATCCTGGGATCAGCTCAAGGGTGTCTCCAGGTGTGAAGTCCTGCTTATGCCTCAGTCCATCTACCCCATCTAGACTTAACCTACCAGGATAAGCCTGGGAAGTAAGGCTTGCCTTGATTATCAGTGTTACCCACCTCAGGGGACTTGCAGCAAGTCCAACTGGCTGGTTCCAGCTTGTTTGAAGGAGGCAGGTGACTCTCTTCCTCCATGCCTTTAAAATAAAGTTGGAAATTTTCAGCTATAGATTCTTAGAGGACTGGGAATTAGGCTGGTGCCTTGAGCAGGGAGCTGCAGCGAGGTTTGGTGTGGCTTTTGGAGTAGGTGTTGCTTGAAACAGCCTGCGGGCACTTACTTTGTCCAGCCAAGAATTGGGGAAGATGAAATGGAATTGGGAGTATTGAGATGTGTGTTGGTTATCCCAACTATGTCAGTCTTGCAATAAAAACTGAGTAAATTCTGATTATTTTGAGAAAAGGAATATAATGGGATTTTGAGAAAAGGAATATAATGGAAAAGAAAGGCAGCAGCCTTCCAGATAGTTGTGAAAGGCTTCTTATTTTTGTGTGACTGATGAAAGAGTCCAAAGCATTGGTAGTGATAGTAAATGAATGAACAAATGAGGTTAGTTGTTTACATAGCTATGGTTCTTTTTTTATTTTCCCCCTTCCTTTGGCAGTATTCCTTGTGCCAAAGCTGGTATTTCTGTAATACTTCCAGGCACTGGAACTCATTTTCCATATCTTTAACAGCAGCCTAAAGAATTCTAACCTGCAAAAGTTCTGTTTGTACTTGTCAGCTTCCACTGGAAGTGAAATGTATTCACCTCTTCCTTTTTGTCCCATCTTCCCTGTGGACACACATTTTTTAAAAACAAAGTGTCTTACCACCCTTTTTTATCACCCTAACACAATATTTGGCTACTATTTGAATTCCTCCTCATGGAAAAGCATAAAAGGACAAGCCTGCTATCTACTCCAGGATATTTGAGTGTATATATATAAAAATCCATATAAAATTGATATTTGAGTGTATATATATATAAAAATCTATATAAAAGAGATTAAGAAATTCCCAGTTTGTATTTAAACAATTGCTGATAGGAAAATACATTACAGTGCAAGTCAATAAATCAGGAAACAAAATCTCTCACTTTATATACACGTAGTTGTGGAGGAGCTAATGGTCACACTCAGCTGTTCTTTACCTGGTGTGTTTGTTAAAAATAACATTTTGAAAGGATTAATCATTCCTGGTGTTTCTGAAGTCATTCAGCTTTAATCGCTGCCATTAAAGTTATTAAGTAAATTCCCAGTTCAGGAAAGGGTCTTAAAATAACTCAGACTTCCTGAAAAGAATTCAGGCAGTCTTTCAAGCACATGCTTTCTTCTGTCTTTGTGTACTTAAGTGCTTTCTTGGACAAACTGGTGAGTTACTAGTTCAAAAATCTATCTCACAAGCCAATATATAACTATTGCATAAACCAACTGACTTCTCTGTGATTACCTCAGGTCTGCATGAGGAAAATTTTTTCTATTGGGCTCTGTTCTGCATTGTTTTTAATATGCAAAACCAAAATCCCTTTGACACATTTTGTTTAGGAAAGTGAATTATCATATTAAAAAACACAATAATATATTGATTTTATAGCAGCATGTTCTCATCAAGAGCTGGCTGTTAGGCAGCCACCTCTCTAATTAAATGTGCCTTTTGCTTCCATAAGCTAGTGCAGTGATCACAGCAGTGACTTTACCTTTATCTAAATGTGATTCAGGTGGGGTTTTGCTACATTTCTCACAGCTGAAGAGAACTTTGAGCTTAGAAAATGAGAGTCAGTGCAAGTGGAATGTTCTAACTGGAACATTAAGCCTTCCATGTAAAATAAAATCCCAGTGTTATGTGGAAGGTGTGAACGGTTAAAAGCTTTTTTCTTTTTGTTGCTATTTTTCCTGAGTAAACCAGATTAACTTTTTATATTAAACAGGAAAACAAAGTTGTAAAACGTGACTGTGGAAATGGATCAAAACATGACATGTAAATTATTGATTTAAAAGTCAATTTATTCCCTGTCACTTCTCTTAGGAAAATGGAATTATCCTACCAACAAGGTAAATTTCAAGCTGAGACGCTATTTCTGATGATGCATACATGTTTGTGTGGTTCTCCTGAGATCTGAGAAGCTTTTAAAAAATTAAAAGACATTTAGAGACAAGGGAAGTTTTATACACAACTGTGTAGACACACGCATTTGTATTATCTGTTTGTATATGTGGTTGATGATGATGATCTCAAAATTGATGAGGGTATTAAATATGTGAATGAACTGAGCACGGGTATAGTTTGGGTGGAGGGAGAATTGAGCAAGTCAATTTGAATCTCCATGTATAAAATGAAATGTAAATTTGTTAAAAGAATTTAGGTGATTAGATAACTGGAGTGTGAAGATATAACCCATTAGGGGTGTCATGCCAAATTAGCATTACCAGACTTTTAACGACCTCCCATTTGTATAATCCTTATTTACACTTGCACCTGATGTCTGCAAAAGACGAGAGCCCTGTGGGACCCCAAGTCCACTTTAGACATGTTGGGTTGCTAAAGAGGAATATTGGGCTGAGAAAGAAACAACACTGAAAATAATTTTCTTAAGGTTGGTCTTGTTCTCGGTACTGATGTTGCTGATTTCCATTGCCCTTGTATGGCTGGTATTGCTAAGCCCTGGAAAATCAAGGACATTTAAAGGAAAGCTTTAGAGATTTCCACTGGAGATTTTCCACATTCCAGCCTTTGGGTCAGATGGAAGTTGCATTGGCATTAAGCCTTAAAGGTGGATGAGGTAAGGATGGAACTGTGCAGCTCCTGATGTCGTTCTTGTGCCATTGACAGAATTTGGTGTTGATGCCAGGATAAGAGATTCCTTCCTGCACCCACCTCAGTTGATAGTTCTTGCTTGTGTCTCAATACAAGCATTCAAGAACTTACTTATGCAATAATGCTCTGAGGACAGGGAATTGCTGTTGCCCTTTTACGAGGAAGCCATCTGACTTGGGAATATTGGCATGGAAGCAGTCTGTTGGTTATCAAGTTTCATCCTTATCCAAAATTCTGTGAGGAATGACTGTACAGTCAAGAACACAAACCGTTATTTCAACTGTGATTAAACAGATTTTTTCTCTTGTATGTGAGCCTTAAGCCAGAATGTTTTTAGGTCCCTGAGAGCTACTTCAGTGATTCATGTTGCATCTTAAAGGCTGCTTGAGACTTCTTTCATATTGGGATCAAAGCTGCTGTTCTAAAATCCCAAGGGTTAGTTCTATCCATTTCAGAAATTCTTCCCCTGTCACAGAGTGATGTGCTTTTGTGGGTTAGATGTCCCCACACTGCCTTTCCTAATCTGATGGTGTTTGAGCCATACTTTTCTCTGTGGTTTTTTTTTGTTGTTGCTGTTAATATGAAAAGTCATAGCAACATGAGAAAGAACACTTATACCCCAATTGAACTAATAAGGTGAACACCCCTACTGTTTCCTTAGTAGAGAAGTCGTCACCTGGTTCTTTACATAGAATTGGGAGTGCTTTGGACCACAGAAGCCATTCATTCTATTGCAGCTCTCACTGAGCATTTTAGAGACATAAATAAACTTGCTGTGGCGACCATTCGTTAAGCGTGTGGGGGTTTATAGCTTTTGCATCTTCTCAGAACACGAAAAAGCCTGTATTAGAAATGGCAATACAATACTGTGTAGACTAATGTGTGATTGAATTTTTTGATTTGAAGCAGTAAAAGTCATGCATTTTGGGGCATTTATTCAGAAAATGTACTTGTTTATATGGACTAGGTATAGTCTGATCTGTAGACTTGCATGCATATTGTTTTTAAAAATTTTATTCTCTTGACGGGCATCTACCAAGACATGCAGGGGACACAGTGATTAAAACTAAACAGCCTCAGAAATGTGGAACATCATAGAATCATCA